ATTACCTTCCTTGGCAGGAAATGGCAGAAAGAGCGGAAAGTATCCATAGACTAAATGCAGTAAACAGTGAAGTAGCATTGAAAAGAGTGAAGGAATTCATAAGATTTCTAGAGAGGAAGATCAAGTACTTCGATGAACCACCACCAGACTCTGTAAGAAAGCGATTGTTGGAGGCTCGATTTATTCCCGTTCTAAGGAAACCAAGGAACTTTCCTCTCAAATGGAAAAGCGAGGAGTACGAAAATGATGCGTTACTCGCCCCAAAAGATGTCTTCGCGGAAGACGAAAAATATCTTTTGTGCTGCGCGGAATCCCTGATCGGGGTGTTTGTCTCTCGAGATGTCAAAGCGTTGCTGAAGCTTAACAAAAAGCACGCGACGTTAGACCATATAGCATGGCAATTGAAACAGGCATTGTCTTCCAACGTTGCGTCCTTCGATTTAAATGCCATGGAAGAGATAAAAACAGTAATCAAATCAGTGTACTCATACCTACAGAATGCCATTTCAAGGAATGGTGCAGCCGTTAAGAAACTATTGAAAGACAAGAAGTTTATCCTTTGCGGAAGAAAGTTCCTCTATGCTGGCCAGTTAGCTTTTCAAGTCAGAGATGACTGTTCACCTTATCTATACCAGCTTCCAAAACAATTAGCAGATGACTTCCCTAAGCTAATGAGATTTGCCGGTGTCAGGGAACGTTTTGAAGAGAAAGACTTTGTTTCAAGTCTACATCAGATGAGAGGGCAATTTTCTGAGAACGAGTTAGACGAAGAAAACCTCAGAGTTGCAGTGCGTCTAGCAAATCAACTGGGAGAAACATTCGGATCAAATGCGGGTAATCCTGCTCTGCTGGAAGAAAAATGGGGAACCGTTTACCTTCCTGACTCAAGGGCAGTGATGACAGCAGTATCCGAGCTTTGTTTCAAGGACTGCCCCTGGATGCCTGACGAAGAAGGAGTGCACTTTGTTCATGCCAAAATTCCCTGGTCAAGTTGTGACTTACTTGGTGTTAAAACTCGTCGAGAAGAAGCCCTGCAAAAACACATGGTCAGAATTTCCTTCGGACAGAAAGAGAAACTTACAACTCGCCTGAAACGCATTCTTCAGTGTTACCCCTGCGAAAAGGAAATTTTAAAAGAACTTCTTCAAAATGCAGACGACGCACAAGCAACCGAGATTTGTTTCATAAAGGACCCAAGGCACCATCCAGATGTGAAAGTGTTCGAAGATTGTTGGAAACCTCTGCAGGGGCCCGCCTTGTGTGTGTATAACA